AAATAAATTGTTTTTTCTCACCTGAATCTATATTACATACATTCGCCAACATTTTGAATATTATTGCCACGTATGGTCCGGTGCTCCTGAGCCGACCAAGCATAGAAATGAATACAATATAGGAACCAGTAATAAGGAGTGCCAGAGAAAAGCGATATTAACAACAACAATTGCAATATATATAAGTCTATCATTAGCCAACGCCTTGAATATTGCTTCCACGTATGGTCCGGTGCTCCTGGTCTATCTTTAACTTATTTAATATAACTTTTTGTAAACTGGTGAAACTTGTTAAAAATCAATATTTTCGATCGATTTTCAATAATGTTGTTGGTTTACGAATGTTTTCAAATACTAAATTATGTTTTCAAACAACCGTGTTTAAGTATCTGTCTATATTTCTGAGATGAGGTATTATGTACACTATTTACATTATTTGGACTATTGTTCTCATCTTTATGGCCATATTTATTATAACGTTTCGGCCGTTGTACGACCACATATGTAGAGAAAAGGGAGTTCACCGCCCTCTGTGGTATCAAGTTGAGATCATAGACAAAGAACCTCATTGGAAAATTTGTAAATCAGCACATATGCTAGGCCACAAAATTCTCCTGAGCCGACCAAGCATAGAAATGAATACAATATGGGAACCAGTAATAAGAAGTGCCAGAGAAAAGCGATATTAACAACAAAAATTGCAATATGAGCTCTGATAAAATACATGTAATGATAACAGCAAAAAATGCAATATGAGCACTGGTAAGAAATGGTTGCTGAAGATATTAGGTTTATAATACCCAGAAATTCGTACACGGATGTCCTCAAAGACACATGGATAAAGGCGTTATTTAGATCCAGTGACAAGATCCAAAGAGAGTGAGTTCAATACCTGGTTAAGGCAGTGGAGAACTTGGTGAGGGGAATTAACGGGATAACTGATAACCGACATCCATTAAACATGGCACGTGGAAATAGAACAGTCTACCACATTGAGTGAAATAATGGGTTCAGTTCGACATTCTAATCACCTGAAAAAGGCCGTTGTAATAAATATTGCGACAAAGACGTGGACAATAGTCCGAATAATGTAAATAGTGAACCGTGTTTAAGGTTTGAAAACTACTGAAAATTGGCGTAAACAGCCAGTTTTTCAACGCAATTTTCATTGTTTTTCAAAACTTTGTAAAACCCAAAATTTTTAAATATAACTTTGTGTAAAACTGTTGAAACGTGTTATCTTTTTTGGTCGATACCAAATCGATTTTCAATAACTGAACACAACACTTGAATCCAAATGTCCAAATCGATTCACTGACTGAACTTACCTATACCAGTGTCCGCTTCACTATCCGCACTACCATTTAGGTGAATATACTATGTTTTTATGGTAACTGCTGCTCGATTTAGTACTTGGGCGACATTTTGTTTTTAATATTTTCTAATATGGAGAAAGTATAGTACGCCGAAAATAACATTTATTTCATCTGATATTTAATATAATAAACAAAACTAGGCAGAAATTCCTTTGCTCAATATATGCAGGAACGACAGTTGGTACAATATAACAAAAAGCGATGTTTTAGAAAGTAATTATTTAAACATTAAGAATTAAAATTAGGAAATACAATTTAGAAAGTAATTATCTAAAAGGTTACATTTCTGAGGCCATCAAACGACACAAAATATAACGAACTTTTTGGTGAAAATAAAATAATAAACATCATTATAATTTATAATTGTTGATGCCGGGAGGTTCGATGAAGTTTTCATTGACTAATGTATGAAGAGATGTTGAGTACGAGAGGATACTGAAAAGTTCTCGGCCAGACCAAGAAACATTTTTTAGAAAAGTGTCATATTTTAAAATTTTTAGGAAAGAGTCAGATTTTAGAAGCTAATAATTTTACCGCACTTCCTCATGAAGTCCAAAGTGAAAAGGAACAAACCAACATGCAAATTAGATCAAACGGGAGCAACACTATAAATATCTGGAAAGTCTATTAACATAGGACGAACAGTGTGACATGGAAATCCAAAGGATCTATGGAATAGAGAAAGATGTCTTCCAAAAGCTGAGTAAAGTATTAATAAACAGAAAAAATATGGTTAGAAACAAAGAAAAGAGTACTGAACTGTTATGTATTATCTGTCCTCCTAAATACTGAACTAATCTCCTCACAGATAAAGAAGATGGTTGAAGCAACAGAAATGTGGTTCTGCAGAAGGATTCAGAGAATACAATCAGCTGAATATGTGAGCAACGACGAAGTTCTATAGACAATGGCAACAAGAAGGTCACTTATACATAACATCAAGAAGAGAGGGTTGAAGTATTTTTTGGGCACGTAATGAAGAAAGAGGGCTTGGAAAATTTGATACTCACAGTTCAGATTGAAGGTAAGAAAGACAGAGACAAGCAACACAGCACCTACCTTGCTAGCATGAGTGAATAGATGACGGAGCATGGTTTGGGAGAGATAACGAAAAGGCAAAAGTTATTCAGAGCGACAAAGGACAGCAAACTGTAAAGAACCACGATCACCGACACCTTGAATGGACACATATCACAATGCATATTGAGGTAAGAAGGTAAGGGAAAGCCAGCGGGTCACCCACCTGACGACCTTGTGTGTGGGGATGGTGGTGAAGAAGCAGAAGGCTAGACAAAACAATGCTAAGGGCCACAAAGAATAGGAGGTTGTGGAGGCCATGATTGCTAACCTCCTGAAGGAACACGACGACAAGAATAAGAAGAAGAAGAAGGAGCAACACTATAAATATCTGGAGAAGAAGATACATTTTTTTGGTTGTGTGCCACAGGTTACTATAAAGTACAGTGCTGTGCAAAAAATGTGACCCAGTTAATTTTTTTTGGAACAAAATATTGTTTTTTCTTTTTTAAAAAATGTGTGTATAAGTAAGGGAAATGGTATATTGTCTGCAATTTTACAAAGAAATTCTTAAGAAACAAACCTAAAGCATGTTATTTTTTTATTTTTAAGGTAAATATTTACTGAGCAATAAAGTGACTCACTTTTTATATTGTATTAATTATGTACAAAATTAATCTAATATTTTATTAAAAAATAAAATTCAGTAAAATAATCACAAAAGAAAAATTTAATTACTAATTTATGCTTCGAACCTTTGTTTTTCAGAACCTTGTTGATTAAGTCCGGCATACACTTAATGAGATTTTTGCAGATGTCATCTCCTAGCAAACTGTTCCACTCCACAATAAAATTTTCAATCAAAGCTTCTTCGTTTTCAATGATTTTCTTCGAAAGTCTCACTTTTATTATACTCCAAAAATGTTCGATTGGGTTTAGGTCAGGTGACTGTTGGGACCATACTATAACATTAACTTTTTTTTCAGAAAAATAATTTTTCACCTGCTTTGATGTGTGTCTTGCATAAAATCAGATTTGATTGATCCATTTCGAGTTTTCGGCAGATGTCAACAAGCAGGTGTCCAATATTTTTGAGTATTGAGTATTCAGCGTTTATCTACTGGTTTGAAAAAAACGGTCCCATTGAATGAGAAGCAACACCCAAACCATAAAACTGACTGTCATTTTCAAATGGGTTTTCTTTGCTCCTCCGTCTGATTTTCGTTCCTTTGTCTTTTGAAAACATTTCAATTTTTGTCTTGTCGGAGAAAAGAACATTTTTCTAATCAGACTCAGTGAAAGACTACTAAGTTTTTGCCCATGCTAAACGTTTCGCGTTATGTGTTTTATTTAGCAATGGCTTAAAACATTTTGAACAGGCTTTGTAAAAGTAGAGCAGTTGACACTTACTTCGAGATCATTTTTCAAGGTAGCAGCAATTTTTATTCTGCTAATTGACAGGTTTTGCTTAATTACTCTAATAATTTCGCGGCCGGTTCTCTCATCGATCTTCTGTTTTCTACCCATGTTTTCTACCTTGACAAATGTTTCAGTGTAATTGAAGATTCTCAAAACTTTCAAGACAGTTGATAGGGATGTTTTGACATTATTTGCAATTTCTCGAGTCGATTTATCAGCTTTTGATAGGGCAACTATTGCTACTTTAACAGATTGTAGTGCGTGCTTATAGCTGTCCATAAGAAAGCACTAATTAATTATATTTTGGTTTCTTTTATATACTTTAATATAATTCTAGAACTTTCTAGAATTTTTAAGAATATTCTGGAATAAAATTATGGAAATAAAATTACAATGTGTTTTAAAATATTGACGCATTTTTTAATGAGTCACAATTTGTGCAGTAGAAAACTTGTTAAATACTCAAAAATGGTTATTATTTTATTCATTTTTAAAAATAATAGTTCCGAACTGATTTTAATTTTACAAATAATATGTCTATTTTTAATTGTAAAATAGATAAAGAAATTTATTTGTAATTGAAGTTAAAAATAATCGAAAAAATTATTACCGAGTCACATTATTTTGCACAGTACTGTATTTACAGTTATTTATTTATATGCAAATGATAAATTTTATTGTCACCACTTCAGGAGGTTCGCTAATTATATAATTATGCTTTTCTTTACAAACTAAACGTTAAATGTCTCATTCGTCAGTAGTTGCTTCAAGATAATGTGAATGTAACCAAATTGAGACAGTATCGTTAACAATAGTCGGCAAATATAATATTACACAGAATTTGCTGCGTTTCTGTATAAAGTAAATCATATGTTTGGAACTCCGGAAAGGCTGACGAAGTGACTATCAGCTATTCTGCTTCTATTGTTTGAGAAAGTAAGGTAGTTATGGGGAAATGATTTTTTTTTTCCTGCAGTTCCGACTTCCGCAAAGTCTGTCTATGAGAAGGTCGGCTTTACAGTTTTTATTGTCTGATTATGAAACGTACAACCACAAAGAGGGTAGGGTTTTTTTTTTTTTTTTTTTTTGTAAAATATCAAGTGTTAATTAACGCGACAAAAAGGGATTGCATAGAAACATGTTTGCCGACCTCCTGCATAAAACAAATAACGTAGAAGGAGAACTGGTATGTTAGCCATCGCCACCACTCTCTCTCTCTCTCTCTCTCTCTCTCTCTCTCTCTCTCTCTCTCTCTCTCTTTCTCTCTATCTATCTATCTATCTATCTATTTATTTCTCTCTCTCTCTATCTATCTATTTCTCTCTCTCTCTCTCTCTCTCTCTATCTATCTATCTATCTATCTCACTCTATCTCTCTATTTCTCTCTATATATCTATCTATCTATTTTTTTCTATCAATCAATCAATCAATCAATCAATCAATCAATCAATCAACCAATCACATATGGGCTTACGGCCATATTACTTTGAAGCGCCGGTTCTCATACGATCTTTGGAGTTAAGCATTTTCGAGCCTAGTCAATACCTTGATGGGTGACCTCTTGGAAATACCAGATGTTGTAAG